ATTTGATCCTTCTGCAAATATTTTATTGTAGTTGTCTGTGTTTTGTTTTTGACCCAACGTTTTCTCTTTTGTTGGCGCAACGCGATCTTTGTCAGGTGCTTTCAACATTTAATGCCATGCTGTTAAACAGTGATTGTCAGCAGGTCTGATATATCTGAGCTGCGTTCCGTTGATCTGTGTTCCTTCTTTCCATTCTCTCCACCTAAACAGCATTTCTGGACATACAGTTGGGTGCTTTGGAAGAATGTATTAGCCACTTAGCTTAGTCATTTTCAATCTATTAAGATTGATGTGATTCCATAAATAGGTGTCGTTTTACATCAGGTTTTTGCTCAAGGGTTAACAGTTGTTTTTAAGGCTTCTGTTTTGACTTTCTAGTATCCGATTAAACAGCTTTGATTTTTTTGCAGAAGCCAAATGTAAATTTTCAACATAATTTTATTTTCAGGACAAGAAACGAAAGTATGAACCTCCGATTCCGACAAGAATCGGCAAGAAAAAGAAGAAGAGCAAAGGACCAGATGCGGCGACGAAGTTGCCCAAGGTGACACCACATACGCGGTGCAGATTGAAGCTGCTGAAACTTGAACGCATAAAAGACTACCTGTTGCTGGAGGAAGAGTACATACGAAATCAAGAGAGACTGAAACCTCAGGAGGAGCGACACGAGGTTAGTGTCATAGGCGACGCTTAGTCTTCTGATCGGTTGGCTGTCATAGGGTTGACGAAAACTGTCATTTTCAGGAGGAGCGGAGTCGAGTTGATGAGTTGCGCGGAACGCCTATGGCCGTCGGCAATCTAGAAGAGATAATCGACGATAACCATGCGATCGTCTCAACCAGCGTCGGTTCGGAACACTACGTCACCATTCTAACATTCGTTGACAAGGACCAACTTGAGCCCGGATCTACAGTGCTTCTAAACCATAAGGTGATATGTGTTCGTGCTTCGTAATAGGTTTGAACTGTACTTTGTTGCTGTTATTTTGTTTTTGTTTATGCTGTTTTTGTTCCTTCATTCGCAACTGCGCTGAGGGACTTGTGAAACCTGGCTCTTCATTGGGCATGATTTTTAGCAACCTGTATATGTAAGGGAGTAGGTTATTTGGAGCTCAATCATCCGCCTCGTTTTTGTTTGTTACTTTGCGTTCATGTATTGATTTAAAATGAAGAACACTTTCAGTACATTATTTGTCACCCACCTATTTACTACTAAATTTGAGCAAGACTTGTGTGGACATCTTTTCATCATTTGCTATTGTCGAATATGTTTGCAATCCGATCCTTGTGTCAGGCTTGATGTTCTGTTTGTCCATAAGTTTGGTTCAGCTCCTTGTTGTCCTTTCTTCCCAGTGCTTTGTGTATTCAGCGAATTGCTGGTTTCTGGCCAGCTACCTTGGATGTTTGCTGTTGTTTTATCTTTGGAATCACTTTTATATCTTTTTATCACAGTGTGAACTGGACGTACCATGTGGTGGCAGTCAGCGTCAAGCGACCGACGTCCCCTAAACAAGATAAAACTACCTATATATGGACCTTACAAAAAATTGCTCAACACTGCACCACCCTAGCGATTTACAAAAGGCAGTTGATTAGCGATTGTCGTACATTGTAAACTTTAGCGGTTCATTTACTACGCTTATAGTAGATATTCAGATTACTTTAGCTAATGTATATTTAATATTAAATGTTTGAACTGGTAATGTCAGGCTTTGCCTTAGGTGGAAGGTTGGTAGGATATTGTTAGGGCATACTCTCGGTACAGATTTCCAGAAATTAAGGATTATTATTAATTGTTTCTAGTATGCCGTCCTAAGCGACTTATTTTGCAGACCCATTCGGTCATTGGTGTTTTGTCAGACGATATCGATCCAATGGTGAGCGTCATGAAACTGGAAAAGGCCCCGCAGGAAACGTATGCAGATATCGGTGGACTTGATCAACAGATTCAAGAAATTAAGGTAGTTGATCATATGCATGTCTGTTAGTAGTGATATATAAATTTTGGTTGGGTAATGGTTGTGCAACATCTTTGATTCTCAAATGGTCCTTAATTTACTCTTGAACAGGAACAGGAAATTTTTTGAGGTATCTATAAGTAATTCAACAAGCTGTCTCTTTCCTTATCCTAAATCTCCAGGTAGCGATCGTTCACCAGGGCAGGTTGCGGAGGAATGCAAATTTCTTTGTTGTATTGGGAAGAGAGCTCTCACTGATGATATGTACTATACATACTCTTGTGTTTAGCTATAGGTGTTCTTCATACTTGCATTTTAGATAAGTTAGTAGACATGATTTTGTTTTAATGATATCATTAAACCCTACCGTATTATAGTTAATACGTTGATTAATTAAGGAATCGGTCGAGCTTCCGTTGACACATCCGGAATACTACGAAGAGATGGGAATCAAGCCACCGAAGGGCGTCATTTTGTACGGCGTGCCGGGCACAGGCAAGACGCTGTTAGCGAAGGCGGTCGCTAATCAGACGTCAGCTACGTTCCTTCGCGTTGTCGGCTCAGAGCTGATCCAGAAATATTTGGGCGACGGCCCGAAACTCGTGCGAGAGTTATTTCGAGTGGCCGAGGAGCATGCTCCGTCGATTGTATTTATTGACGAGATTGACGCGATCGGAACCAAGCGGTATGAGTCGAATTCTGGTGGCGAGCGAGAAATCCAACGCACCATGTTGGAACTGCTCAACCAGCTTGACGGTTTTGATTCAAGAGGCGATGTCAAGGTGAGTAATGCTTAGTCTGATGAATCCTGGACAAGACGGTAAAATACTGGAAAATTGTGTTAATTGTCTTATAGTAGTTGTATCGTTTCTTGATTCATAGTTTTAGGTATCGGCATTGTGCCACAGTGCCTGAGGTCTGCTTCGAACTCCAGAGGAAACTTAAACTTACCCCAGGTTGCTCAGCCGATAGAACGTTGCACTGATAACTGAGAAATCTCGGGTTTGAGCCCCGGTCAGGTCACTCACCCTTCTTCCGCGGTTCAAAGAATTAATTGCTCTGAGGAAAAGAAGCAAGCAGTTATACATTATGGTTGCCACGTGATTGCTGTGGCTCGACCTTTAGAAAACGGCTTTCCACGCTGATTTTTGCTGATTTCCAACCTACGGCTTTCCAATCTGATTGCACTGAAACGACGGTTAGCGCCCCACCATTAACTTTATGATAAGGAGCGATCCAGATATGTGTCTTGAAAGTGTAAGGAAGATTAGCATTCGAGTCGTTACAAACATTCCTTTTAGGCAACAGATTGCACACACGTGTTATTTATCAAAGCGTTTCGACGCTGCATACCGGCGTCACCCTCAGTCCAAAATATGGCGATGAAACTGTTTAAAGGAATGAATGTACAATCTCGTACAGTTGGAGTGATCAATGGAATGTCGTCACGCAACTTGTTTCGCAGCAACACATTGTCACTGAACTTTCACCCCCAAGTTGTTTCTGTTATCATCATATAGCTTGATCAAATCTGAACCGCAATCTGTCTTGGAAGCCGATGACTTTCGGTAGCTTATTCTTCATTGAAGGTTATGACTTCCTTTCATCTGGGTATGAGTTTCAACCAGTGGTTAAACTTTAAAAAAATGCTGAGGTACAGAATGGTCGTGGTAACACAAGTTACGAAAAGCAGTCTATGATAGTTTTATTATATTTTGGTACTCATGCTAAATTTGGCTGTTCAGCTCATCGCAAATTTAATATTTATATATAGGTCATTATGGCAACTAATCGTATTGACACGCTCGACCCAGCTTTGATCCGTCCGGGACGAATCGACCGTAAAATCGAGTTCATGTTGCCTGACGAGCACACGCTTCGCAGAATCTTCATGATACATACAAGCCGGATGACCTTGTCCAACGACGTAAACTTTGACATGCTAGTTTTGTCCAAAGACGAACTTTCCGGCGCTGATATCAAAGTAAACCGATAATAGAGCAAAACAACGTTTTATATCTAGTCATCGAGTAAATGTTTTTAAAGGCAATATGCACTGAGGCCGGTCTGTTGGCTTTGCGAGAGCGGCGTATGAAGGTGGCGTTGGAAGATTTCAAAAAAGCCAAGGAAAACGTCCTATACCGCAAAAAGGAAGGAGCTCCAGAGGGTCTGTACCTGTAACATTGCTGCTTCGTTTTCTTAACTTTTAAATTGTTTTGTAATAAAACTGAAAATCATTCTTGATATACTGATGGATTGTATCATATTATGAAACAGCAAAATTTATGAAGATAATGAACTGGCACCAACATTTCGGCTTGTCTATCAAATATTTTAAGTTAAAATTTATGCTTTATGTTTGTAGTTGTTTGAAGCGCAAAGCAAACTTTCGGCTCCGGTACTATTTCGTAAGAGATTTGACGAAGCTGAAACAGTTCTGAATAAGTCCATCCAATCAAGCTTTTATCTCTACTTGGGTCGTCGACTTGGTTACGAAGATTGTAATTTTGCCTGTAATTTTCAGACACCAGAATCAGCCGTAGAAACGGAAACTTATTAAATTGCAACGTGGTTTGATCATTCGAGACGAACTTCGGTTAACCTTGTATCGGTCACTGGTATTTGACAAATATTAGACTGAATTTAACATACTAATATAAGCCCTTTTTCTGAATAATTCAACATAAGTACTTGGTCAACTACCATGCCGTAAATAACGTATATTTAAAGACACACTAACACTTTACTTGAATCACTTTAACAAAACAGAAGGATGTATTCAACACAGTAGAGCAGTAACAATCCCCTTGTCAAAAACATACTTCGATGTTTAGGCGGTAGCGAACGAATAGGACCACTTGCTGAAACAGCCGGGTCGTGATGCGACAACGACATAGTAACTAAGAGGTCAGCTTCGAACTCTGGAGGATTTTCTCTTTATAACGAATTTCTTGAGCAATTTGCCATTCAGTGCTTCAGATCGGAGTAATCGATCAGTCAGCATCTGGGTTTGAGTCCCAACTTGTCTTTCTTCCTTCCAAAATTGATAAACGAGTATCACTCTAATAAATGAGTGCGAAGAAAACAGGAGAATGGAAAACTGCCTATACAATAGTTGCCTTTAAAAGTAAAACACTCCTGATTGATGACATGGAAATGGAGATCAACGCCCTCACCATTAATTTCATGTAAACGGGTGCTAGAATTGGCCACATCAGGTAAGTTTAAGAAAGAACGACGTTTCAACGGTTAAAAACTTTTTAGTAAGCAGTTCTAGGGAACAAAATTATGCTAGATACATCAGATACTTAAATACCGGATCCACAGCCTGCTTGAACAGCTCCTTTGGATAAATAAAAGCTTTATATAACGCGTAAATCATCTGAGTTGATCCTCCGCTAAATAAGGCACCGTTCTGAAGTAAGGATGAGAAACTGCCGTGTGCCGGGACTCACGAAGGAAAATCTGAGCGAACCAAGCCTTGCAGGACCGTCACCTGGAATTCCGTTAGGCTGAAGTGAAGGGCAAACGTACTGTTCATGACGCCTGACGAGCATGGATAGCAGCGAAAAGCATCTGCCAAGGTAGAAAGAAATGGAAAGAACGAACAAAAACGGTTCTTAGTGTCCTGCGTGCAGCTCAAGTCAGACTATATATAAGAAGCTACAGGCTTTCAATTAGAAAACCCTGCCTCAAATGGGGGTGATGGTGCTACGGATTTGCACTTCCACAACATAAACATCGAATCTGTACTATAAAACGTTTTCAGTGTCTGTATCAAGCAACTTAATTAAGAAATTGAATTATGCTGTTTGACAGGTATTACTACGTGGCATTTAATACCTGAAACGTGTATTTAACAGCTGTATCGTCAATCGACCGGCGTCTTGACAAAGCTGGTCTTTTGTGCCTGCAAACCTGCTAGTGGAAGAGAGGTGGAGAGGACCAACGGTGAAATTTCACCGACAGCTGCTGCAACCACACAGTGAGAATCTTCCATTCGAAGTTAAGCAATGTGACCCAGTAGGATCGTTCTGCAATAACAGTCGAGATATGAATCACGGACGCAGATCCGTGCATCTTGTATGTGATCAGCCGCATGATGTTAAAGAGTAATCTTTGACTTCGAGTAGCTAAAAACAAGTAGCTTAGAAAACTTACTTATGACTAATTAGGAAGTTAATGGCACAGATTTTTCTTACATAGCCTAAAAAACTCACACAGCAATGCAGTGAACCGATTTTATGCAAATTTTGGAGTAGGATCGCAGCAGTACGTGCACGTAAGGGGCTATCAGCCAACTGAAAGTGTTGAAAATGATGGAAATAGCTAATTAATATCAGGCGACAATTCGGCGGGCATATCACATTCAGACTTTGTGCTGATTCTGGCGTATGAACACAGTCGCGAATAACTGCCACAGTTTCGGTCGTGACGGAGAATAACGAAGACGACCAATCAGGGTCGAACTCAAAAATGACGTAAACCAGTACTTAGTAAAGTCCGAGGCTCTTCAAGACACTTGCGCAACTGGAGAGCAGGCCAACGGGATCTTTAGTAAAGCATATCGGATAAAAACAGCGAGAAAGCTGAAAATTTTCAGCTTAATCCTCACCGGAAGAACAAGTAGTCGAAGGAGAAGGTGAAGTAGGAACGGAAATATTATTCGTGACGTTTTCGTGACTATGCCGCTCACATACAAAGCGCGTTTTGCTGGCCAAGTGCCGTTCCATGCTACGTATCTCTGCGTCCTGGTGGCGCAGCTGGATGTCAAGAAATTTAACCTTGTATTCAAGGTCCACCAGTTGGTTTTTTATCTCGAGTTCCTTGATGCGCGCTTTTTCGTTCGTCCTGAAATTAAAAAAATACCATAAAAACCTTCACCGAAAAACAACAGTAACAAATTTTTTACATAAATCAGAAACAGAAGATGCTTTTCAAGTAAGGCAACTTTGCGAAAAATTTCATAAATTAAATAATCCAGTATTAATAATCTGACGAAGATAGATGTCCTTTCAACAACAAATTACTATTGTACATGAACATAATACCATCGAACTCGACTGGCTCTCAAAAAAATAAGAAAAGCATAGAGTATCTGCTCACTGACAGAACGTCTTGGTCAGCTCAGGGTGAAAAGCGCTCTAAAATCATTCATGAAAACCGGATATTCCGCCCCCATAGACAGAATATCAGAGCACACACAGCAACGAACCAATCAGGGTCGTGCTACCACTTCTCAAAATGCTGCTATAGATTCTTAATCTCGGTGCTACGTGAAACCCAACTTTGATACTGAAACATGAACCTTCGCCTGTGTTATTGGGCCATCGGTGACGCGTGAGAGAAAACTGGACTACCTGTTGTACTCGACGGTGAAAATGATCACCGCAACAACGTAAACGATTAGCTCCCCAACGAGATTAGCGCCCAGTTCGACCGCTGCCTCTTCGGTCAATGCTGGAACGTCCACCGGTTTTCCGAACCCGAGCCACACCATTTTGCGGGTCATTTCCACTTTGTGGTAAACTAAAACAAATCGTGATTGAAAAAGGAACCGAGAATTTGGTATGATGATGGCATTTACATGCAAAACGCGTAGACGATGAGATTTACGCTAAATTTCATGGAATTGCGTCCTGAGTTTTGTTAATATAGTTCTGCTTCGTTAGAACATGAGCAAACGAAAAGGTTAAAAGCGGATTAGCCATATTATTTCATGGTTATCACCATGAAAAAAACAAAAAATTCCTTGCTTAATAGAGAAATATTTCAACGGAATTGGTATCCGTCATCACCAAGAAATACACAAAAAAGTATACAATGGCCTACTTTAGTTACTGTTTGAAATGCGTGTGTTTCTGTTAAAGAGACAACAAATTAGGCTCAACGCCGCAACTACTAACCGACCTAAATTTGTACATTTTAGTGTATATTCTTTGAGATGATCGATACCAGTTAGGTCGAAAAACCGCATCGTTTCCAAGACGTTTTGGCTGTCCTCGCTACTAACGACGGATCTTCATCTTCCGGTCATCCAATCGGCATGTATCGCCATGAGCTTAAGAAGTTAGTTAGGAACGACCCGATCCTACTTCGCTCAATATGCCTGATTTCATCTGCTTAAGCAAAACGGCAACATAAGTCTCCCCTAGGTAACTGAAGGCAATATAGGTACTTTAATGAATCTTGCATAAGTGAAAATAGTCCACTTGCGAAAGAAGTTAAAAGCCAGACAAACTACATAGCCAAAATATGGTTGGCAAGAGATGGCATTTCTGCTCAGAACCAACCATGAATATACTGTTTTTAAGTTCAAAGAATAACGATTCTTTACACTGGGCTATTGGTAAGCAAACGAATCGGCGAAAGATGCTGCTCCGCTTGGCACCATTCTTGATCTGGTTGGCCAACGGTCGACTTATTTGCCTGACGAGCAATGAGCCAAGTTTAATGATAGGGAATGCGACGACCATTCGCGTACAATGGTGTGACAGTGACTCCGGCAGCAGTAAGAAACGATGTACGCCGTGATCTCAACACCCTCGACTCAAGAGGAAAGACGAAATTCCGAACTGACGAGTCACATGATCGGGTGAGATCTAAAAATACAGAATTTTTCACGGATGCCAAATACAATTTTAAATGAGAAAACTGAATACCTAGAAAATTTAGGTGCGATCGCCATGAAAGCTTTCCTGCAAAAATAATAGATAAAGCATGTCAATACACCGTTAAATAAACAATTAATCAAACAAACCAAACTGAAGAAAAAAAGACGTATGAAAAATGCCTACTACGTGTTCAAGTACTAAACATCAATATCTATACTGCAGGCAATGCAATGGTATAGATAATGTTCCAAATTGTCGCTACTGACGTAAAGACCTACAATTTTGCTGCAAGAATAATATCCAATTCTTTGCTCTTAGTTCTTGCTGAATACATTTTCTAAAAAATGTGAAAAACTGAGAGGTATCACTTCGGTGGTCAATCCGCAGAGACAGCGAGGAGCGAGAGCGAGGATTTGCGCTATGTGTGAAGTGATGATACTCCACTTTCTCCGCAAGCACGGCTTCACGACTGTACAGATACACGGTTAAGCTCAGTATCCGTTACTTTGCCTGATATTGTGCCTGATCATGGGCTTCCAGCCATATCATCACAAGAAATGGAATCAGAGGAAGGTATCTAACATCAGCGTTTTTAGTGCCGGAATCGAGGTCGAAACTTCTGTTTAAAATTTATGGCCATGTTATGGATCGTCGAGAGCTTTCGGCTACGCAGCTCGATGCACTTATGGAATAGCTAATACCAAGAGCCATTATTAATGCTATTTATCGATTTAACACGATGGATGTCGCAACTAGATCTTTAGTCATCTAGTAGCTATCGATCAAAAATGCCTATCGTGTTACATCTAGCATACCATTCATCCTCAGGACGAAAACCAGTGTAAATCTCTGTCTCAAACGATGTTTTCATTTCATTCGATCTGCATGGCTGCCAATGACCATCGATCATCGGCTATTGTCTTCATAATGCATCGGGGTTTGGGTCATAATCTCGCATTACTAAAAGGTAGATACTATCTACCTACTACAACAGTAAACTCGTCCTGTTCCAATTTGAATTTTAATGAACAGCACGAATCCAAATATAAACTGATCAGTTGAATCACCACTAGGCGGTGCATGCTTAGAAAAACACAAGAAACTTAGTAAAGAAATCTTAAACGTCTTATTTAATTATTAACCTTAATTTTTGATTCATGAGGTTCGAGTAGATTAATTAAAATGAACGTAACGAACGATACAACGATGTCTTTATCTGTTCTTATCACGACAACCATCGACATCATTAGTGGATAAAAACAAAATAATATTTAATCAATTCATAACTAGTAATGAAGAACAGTGTTTAAGTCACTGACTTAACAGTATTTATTAACGTAAATAGTTCAAGTGATCTATACAAAATGAAGAAAACTTAACAACCGGTGCGATGAAACACCTCATGAAAGTACGAGGTCTCTCAACCTATGGTTACCACTGCATGGTTATCTGACGGCTTCGAGGTAGAATAATCCTTCAGGACTATTCAAGGAGGATATACGCTGCCTACGTTTACCTGCCGCACGACCTCCTACGGCCTTTGGTCATTGCTTACTTCTCTTGACATAGAAACAAAGTTGGTTTTATGCGATCATCATCCCTATCAAACAAGTTTCCAAACACTACAGCATCATACTAAGCGCCAGATACAACAGCTAGATTTCATGTGTTTCGTCTACTGCAAAGATTTATGATGTTAGTCTCTCATACAATGCAAGTTATCAAATTTACAATGCGGCCAATCCTTGGCTGGACAATTTTCATTTATCAGTCAATGGGTTATATTCGTTCTTCCGGGTGGCGGAGAAGCACGCAAAAAACATTGCATCCAACGTTCCAGATTTTGCGCCAGAATATGAGTGTCAGAACAAAATCACCAGAGTCTAAAGGAGACTCGTTGTGGGTACTTAATCAGGTAATTCTTTGGCTTCCCCGGGGAATTCGACAAGCAACAGCTGTTTCGCATACATTTCCGGATGCAATCACATGGCGTGCCAAAACTACCGCAGCTGTGACATTTGAATCTGTGAACAGCTGTACATCAAGGCTCTCGAATATCTGTACTTCGGACAATGTCGAGATGTGTGAACCGAGAGATTCGTCTCTCAAAGTTCATTTCAATCTCTTGTACCCCGGATCGAAGATTTTCAATCACGGCTCACAACTCATGATTATAAATGAGCATCAGCCTAAAGATCCACTCGAACACAAACTCAGCACCGCCTAAGCCTCAACGGTTCGGCCAATTTTACACAGGATGAGACTGATCATTCCAATTCCCAGGTTGATCGCTATTTGAATCACCAGTAAACGCGATCCCGAGGTACGTACATTTCTCTACTTGTCCCACGGCTGCCTCGTTCATGCAGGGAGCAGGCGAACGAGAAAATACTAAGCATTTTATTTTAGACACGTTCTTCCGCATGCCAGCCATATTTCACGCAGCTGCAATCCTTTTCCGAGAGCGCTTGAGATCAGTTTCAGAAGATGCCATCAAAACAAGGTCGCCACAGAACAGAAACATTTTCGTCTGCACATCTTCTACGCTGCCACATTCATCGCTTCATCGCTCTGGTTGTAACTGAAGCGGGGAAAGGACGCAGCCATGGCCGAGACCAGTGCTATCCTTGAAAGGCTTCGACTTGATGCCATTTACTCTGACGCAGCATCTTCTATCAGACTACAGTGAATAGATGGCCAGCAGCATCTGGCCATCTATCTCACATGCTCGCAGGCATGACCACAGACTGTTGCGTGGGATCCGGTTATAGGCTTTATCTAGGTCAACAAAGCATATGCATACCGGACGGGCGTACTCCCACGATTTCTCAATCTGGCGCAGGGCAAATATATGGTCACATGTGCTCCGACCGAGCCGGAAGCCACCCTGCCCTTCTTATATCCTGGAATCAGTTATTTTGCGGCACCTTCTTTCCGGATCACCTGGACCTGGTCAAACCTTCGTCTCATGTATCCGCCAAAGATAGTTTCACATTTGATTATCTCGTTCGACTTGCGACCAGGTCTTCGCATAGTACTCCGTCTCTCACAGCGTAGTATGGTGATCAGTTAACACCTCTGCGCTTCTTAACGCTAACATCCATTACAGAGCGACGTTAAGTCAGATGATTCGATTATCAAATCAGCCATCGACTCCTGTGCACAAGCTTCCCGGTACCAGGTGTACTGATGCACTCTTCGATGCTCGAAGAACGTGCTCATAATGGACAATCCGTTGTTTGCACAAAACCGCAACAACTTCATGCCGTTATTTTTGAGGTTGCTAGGGTCGTTTCTTCGTTCTTTCAATGTCTACTTCGACATATCTATTCAAATCTCCCGTCAGAATAATGGGTTCTGTTGTCGGCACTTCCTACAGTATAGTTTCTACTCCCTCAAGGAAACAATTATATTTAAAGCTCCAAATTTGACCTCCAGCAAAATCAAATCCTTGATATGTCGTAACTTCAGTCGGAAGACTGCCACTCTTCCGACTGACAGGTTTCCATTCAGTTATTCTGTCAGTGATGTTGGGATCTATTGTCAAGAGCACGTCGTGATGTCGAGGCCTAAGTAGAATTAAATTTCAAAGATTTTATGCTTCGTCGACGAGAGTTCAACTATGTCGAGCTGGTACCTTGCGGCTTCATCAAGTAGAGCATGCTCTTTCGCTCTGAGTGAGGACATATTCAAATATCAGATTGTAATGTCCTACTGGGGTGTCGTTTCCGTGGAGCCTTGTGACGTGCTATCATCACATCACGCTATCTGCTTCCTCCTTTTGGAACGGCTAGAGATTCCGTTGATGATTGGTGGCTTCGTTGCCGTTTCGTATATCTTCGGTAGCTGTTACTGTGCTGCTACCCGTCCGGTTGCCGGAAAGCGATCAGCAAATTCTGTCCCCTGACTATTCACCGCATTCCTCAGTCCCTCATCAATCAGCCCTAACCCGACTGATGACAGAACAGGCATAACATTTGATATTTGCAATATCACGAGGGCTAGATCGTTTAGTTTTATGGAGGCCTCGCCGCGATCCCCAAACCTCCTCCCTTCTATCCCTGCTTAGGCCTTCAACGTCGATGTTGTTTCATCCATTCCTGAGCGACTGAAATTGTATGTAAACGTAAACATCAACTGGAAGTGCAAAAGCCGAACTGACGGTTCTATGTTCATAGATTATGTAAAAGTACAGACGTACAAACGAAGTCCATCGAACCATGAAATACCCATTATTTACATACTTCTAAATAATACAAAAGCAGAAGCAAGTCAGTATAAAATCTGCAAATCCACAAGGTAAAAAGAAAAGACACCACTCTCGACTCTCTTACCACTTTCTACATGGCGTGGTCTTATAAGTTATCACAGTATTACTAAGTTTGCAGGTTTTATAAAATTCTGGGAAAAAAAAACCGAAAACACGGAATGCTGTTTTATACCTTGCTAGGGATATATGCGAAAGCTGCCGAAACCGTGACTGAATGAATAACAACACTACACAGTTAGACTCTCGGCATTGCTGTGTTTGAGACAAAATAAAATATGACCGTCATCTTCCGTGGCTGCTTCTCTTTTCCGGTCGGGGGAGTCTGACGAGATTGACAGAACGTCCAACATTCCTGATCCTGTGCAACGTTCACGTCCCTGATCATGTGAGTTTGAGCTTCTGCAGAAGACAAATGGAGTTTGGTATAGACTCGTTCCATATATTTGCGCGAAGTTAACCTTGGTCGTCCCATTGACTATCTGCTGGTCGGTTTCACAAGAAGCAGTCGCCTAGCCTTTACTTTTGGAGGCATTTGTAACACATACTGTCGCAGATGAGTCTTTCCAATCTAAAGAAGCAAAGGCTGTAGACCAAGGCTCTCGCAGACGTCAGTATTTCGGACCATATCCAGGTGCGTAAGGCCAGCCACTCGTTTAAGAAGGCCCATTCAGCAGCTTGTACCCGGGTTCGAAGCATTTCAGTCATGGTCCAAGACTCATGACCGTAGATAAGCAAGGAGTTAACATCGATTGAATACCGAAAGCTCAGTTTCCAAACTAAGCTCTGCTTCAGCTACAGTGGATCGGCCTAGTTCACGTAGAACCTCAAAGACTACTGCAATTCGCCGGTCGATCTCTTCCTCCAATTTTTCATCAGTAGTAAATAGACTTTGGAGGTACTTGAACTTCTCCATCCGTTCCACTCTCTCACCATTAATCTGAAGAGACCAACAGCCAAGAGAACGAGAAAGCACTAGGCTTTTCGTCTTAGGTGCGTTGACACGCATGCCAGTCAAGTTGCACTCTGCTGCGAATTTTTGTAGGAGCACCTACATCGGCTTCAGAACACGCGAATAAAACAACGTTGTCTGCAAACAGCAATCTTCTCGTCTTCGCAACTCCTAGACCGATTCACTCATCGCCTCGGCAGTTCCTGACTATTCTATTCATGCACAACAAAAACGGCAGAATTGGCGGAAACCAGTGCCAACGTTGAAGGGTTACTACTTGACGCCTGCAACACCTGCTATCAAAACACAGTGATTGGATGGCCCTTAGCAGCTGGCCATCCATCCCGAATGCTCGAAGGCATGACCACAGAGTGTTGCATCGGATCCGGTAATAGGCTTTTTCTATGTCAACAAAACACATGTATACCGGACGGGCGTACTAACACGATTTCTCAACAATTTGGCGCAGGGAAAATATGGTCAGAGGTGCTCCGACCGGGCCGGAAGCCATAACGCTCTTCTTTCATCTTGACGTCAGCTATTTTGGGGCACCTCGTTTCCAGCGCTTTGGGTACACTTTACCTTGGAGGCTCAATAACCAATTAAAGCATTCCTTGAGGTCTCCCTTTTTGAAAATGGGCACAATAACTACAGTTCTTCAGTCGGCTAGTGTCTTTCCCGCAACCATCGTAGCGTGACAGACACGTTTAAGCCAGCACATGTCTTGTTCATCTAATGCCTTGAGCATCTCAGGGCGGATTTCATCCATTCCAGCAGGCTTTCTATTTTTCAAGCCTTACCCACCTTGCATAATTTCATCAACAGAGATGGTAATATCCGTACACTTCTGCTCTACAGCCGAGTTTTCCTGCGACTGCGCGAGGTTATAGAGTTCCACAAAGTACTCGCTTCATCGCCGAAGAATGTCATCATCTTTGGTAAGATGCTATCCTTCAAGACTCTGAGATTGCCCTTCTTTTCACCTCGGAGCCGGCGGATGGTCGGCGGGAATACTTTGTTTGCAGTGCGCAAATTCGACTCCAACACCTCACCGAATTTCTTCCCCACTAAAAATCAGCGTTGGCTTTCGCCACTGCTTTCGCTGCCGCCTCGCGTGTTTCGCCATATCGCACGATCCATTGAACTCTGCTTTCTTTAATTGCCAGTTGTATCCCTTTTGTCTACCATGAAGATCTTTTCTGACGCCCAGGCGGCAGGCCAACACGTTTAAATCGGCAGCATTCGGCGGCAGCGTCCAGTATGCCGCTCTTAAAGAGTTGCCACTCGGTTTCCACATCAGTTGTCATCACCGGGATCTGTTCAAACCGTCATGCAATGTTGCTTGCAAATTTCGCTCTCGTGTCCACTGTAGATAATGTTTTCCATTTGATTCTCCGGTCGCTTCTGCCACCAGGTCTTGGTATGGTACTACATTTCTTACAGCGCAGCTTGCCAGCAACAAGATAATGGTCGGTTGATTGCTCTGCGTCTCTCTTAACTCGAACTTCCATTACCGAGCGTTTTAAGTCAGACGATATGATTATCAAATCGATCATCGACTTCTGTGCACAAGCTTACCGGTACGAGATACACTGATGCACTCCTCGATGCTCAGAGAAGGTGTTCATAATGGACAATCCGTTTTCGCACAAAACCGCAACAACTTGCTGCCGTTATTGTTATGGTCGCCAGGGCCGTTTTATCTTTTACGCCGTTCCATATTTCAGCGTCTACTCCGACATGCCCATGAAAATCGCCCATGAGTACGAGAGACTCTGTATTCGGCACTTCGAACAGAGCACACTGCACTTCCTTAAGGAAGGTCTCATATTTTTTCTCCAAATGGGCGCATAGACCTGCACCAAGGTCCGCTTTAGCCTGTTGTAGCTTCAGTCGGAGGATTATTACCCTTCCGCTGACAAGCTTTCAATCAGTGATTCTGTCTGCAAGGTTGGGTTCTACCAGATCAGCAACACCGGCGTGAACGGGTGTCGTTATATCGACACCTGAGTACAGTAGCTTCCATCCGCAGAGATTCAGGATTCGAGAGCGTTGGTAATTTGTTGGTGCGGGTCTCACAATGTTGAATCGGTCCTTTTTGGCCTCAACAACTGACTCCTGCTTTTTCCCTCTGAGTAAGGATATGTTCCAATTTCCAACTGTAAGCTGCCATTGTTGGTGTCATTTTCTGACGTACTATAATTCCAAAGCGCTGTTTGCTTCCTTCGTTCAGAACGGATAGCTACTCCTTTGCTGGCTTACAACTTCGTCGTTCCATCGATCTTCTTCAGCCGTTGTTTTCTGCTACGCCACCGGTTTTCAGAGGGCAATGAGCAGGTTCTGATCGTCGACTTTTCGCAGTCTGTCTCATTCGTCGAACAGCCTATGCGACCCTTGGTAACCCGGGCGACGACCGAGCCAGTATAGTTTTCGACTTCGTCAGTGCCATGAGTGGCAGGTGGATAAATTTTTCGCACACTTCGACAT